GTCCAATACGGGATTGACAGTTGTTGGTGTGGGGTGAGGGGCGGTACCCGCAAGGATTTCCCGAAAATCCACCCCTCCACGCCCGATCGCATCCAACGCCAGGGTACGTCTGGGGGCCTAACCGGCCCCCCAGGCCCCCCGGTGCGGTCGTAACTATGACTCTCTTAATGGTGTTTCCTTTTTGCTTCATTCTGGAGCAGGGTGATCATAAATGAAAGAACCCGTTGCCTAAAAAATTTCTAGGAAGACAATCAACGATATTGTAACAATGCGAGGCAAATAAAATAAGTGTGTCAAAAGTACTTTACAATTTTTTTTTCAATTGTCTGTGATAACGATTTTACATTGAAGAGAATCTATCACATAATCCCTGATATTCATCCAGAACATGACATAATGGTTGATCGTGAAATTTTGTCCCAGGGATTTGACCTCAAAATAGTTTCGTTATTTGAGGTTTTTAATAAAATCTAGGATACTGAGATGAATTTCAATCGAGTAGATACTGATGTTTTTATCAATGATGCGAGTATATCAATTTCTCCTCTGGATAAATTCAAAGATTATTTTATCATGGATTTTCCGCATGCGCAAGTAAATACAGGGCAGTTGAAAATACGTTCAATTGGCCCAAATATACTGTGTAACGACGGCCAAGAATACTTGTCATCAACCATTTTTCATAGGCTGTCCAGAAATGAGAGAAACTACAGCAGTATCAGTAGGGGAACAACACCGGTTCTGGACCACTTCAAGGTCGCGCGTCGTTAATAAGTGTTTCAGTGAGAGACTTTAGTGAGTGGAAGAGAGAAACGTGTGACGTAATCGATGCAGAGGAGGAACGAATGAGTATCAGAAAGTTTCAAAGATAAGAGCGTGGACATGGGACTCAACCTCACCCATGGGGATTTCTCAGGACTTCACTGCTCCTGTAGTTCTGATGGTCGTTGGCAGCTTAGCGAAATTGAATAAATAAAACCGATCGGTATGAGAACAATTAATGGGCATATTCAACTTTATGAGGTGAAGAAAAATATTTTGAAGCAGTTGAATAATTTAGATATTCAAGACAAAGTGTTCAATCAAAAATCATCTCAAACGAGATATCTGCTGCGGAGAATTCAGCCCCAGAGTGTAGAATATATCGGCACCCATGCTGAAAACAAATGTCGTAATTTTCACTGCAATAATGAATAATGTTCCGTATGTGAACGTACCGAATTTTGGTGAAATTCATGACAATATGCGTGAAGGCTAGTGACTGTGATTATGGATGTAATGGAAATCGATGCATTCGACATCAGTCAATGAGGGCCAGTTAGCAGTAGTTGCAGACGCAATTGCAAAGAATAAATACATCATTCAAATATGAATTGAAGTTGATATTTCAAGATATTCGATAATGAGATACAAAAACTGTTGAATTTGTTCCAGAACCCGCAAGAAATCTAGAGAAAAAGAAGTCACAAATGGAATTTAACGTTTATAGAAAATTAAGTAATGAATATTTTGGTTCAAACAGTAAATTGTTGAATATTCGAATTTTTGTTTCATTTCAAGTAGGTAACATATTGAAAAGATACATGCAGAAACATCGCTATCATTCAAAGATGAAGCCAAAAACGTGGGAATTCAATATATAACAACCATTTAACCTACTGTGTAGGTATATTCGAAACTGGCTTGAACGTTCAAAGTTCATTTCTTTAGAAATATTTAGTATTGGGTTGAGATGAGCTAGAGAGCGAAAATGCAAACCGCAACAGTGTTGATTCACATATTCATTGGGAAATTGAAATTTGTTCTAGAACTCTCCATAATAATCAGCATGTTTTCTTTGTTATCAAAGTTCATATATGAACGCTAGCGCGATATGTTCCTGAGTCACACCCTGCAGTCTAAAGTTATGAAAATCACTCCAACATCTATCGGGATCTATCTATGCTGCTTTCTGTCGAGAATTATTATGTTGACTTGCTTTCTGCCGTGAATTATCTTCATTGTCATAGATTATTATCTCATGGACATCGTATCTGTTGTTTATTGACCTTCTCTATCAATACCGAAGGTGACATGGATCAGGGTCAATGATGAAAAGACAAAACAAACACTCTTTATCATCTTTGTTTCATATCAGAATATTTAATCACTTATTCTACTATAAATACGTCCTGCGTAGTGAAATGAGTTAGTTGTAGTAGCTGAAAGTGATACCAATGACAAGTGCACCGATTTTATTCGAAAGTGAGTGTTTTTCATTATTTTTCATGCTGACTCTATAAGTTTTCATCGCAAGATTCAAAGGTTTTGAGTTTTACTTTTTCTCAGATGAATTTATTCAAATGTTATTTGATTCGAAGTTGGTGAGACTTGTTTTTGTTGAATTATCATTGAATTATCATTTCAAATTTTTCTGAGATTGATTTACTTGAATATTTTTTATGCACACCTTTTGAGGGTTATCGTTTTTATTCCAGTTAATTTGTGAAATGAAGCGATTTAGAGGTAGTAACGTATTCCTCGAGCTAACCTTGGACTACTTTGTTCATACTGCATACATCTCAGAAGATAA